TCTTTAGTCACCAGGATGTGCATGGGGCCGGGGGCCGGGGGCCGGGGGCCAGGTTAGGGTGGCTGCGTCCCACAGGGCCGACTGCATGGTTTCAGTCCTGAACTTGGCTTGAAAATCACATTGAACATGTGCGTTTGCGCAAAATCCCGAGGGAGAGCTGGAGAAGGGATTTCGGCGGCCCTGCCCCATGGGGGCGCTCGCTCACTCTCCCTTTCTCTCTCACCAGCGAGTGCATGTGCCTCTCAAGGAAATGAAACACAAACCAACCCCCAGAGTGCCGAGAACTCTGGCTTCTGAGCAACTTCACAGGCCCATCCTGTGGGGCTGGGAGCATCGTCAGAACACAGCCAGGGACCAGGATCCCACCCAGCCTGCCGTGTGCGGTGTCACTGAGGATGCCTGCAGGGTCCGCCCTCCTGCCAGGCCTCCTGCCTGCACTGAGACCCGGCCACGCCAGACATCAGGCTGGGACGGGGGACTGGAAGGCGTGACGCTCTGTGAGCTGACCCCACAGAGGGTTCCGAATTCGCACCCAGAGACCTCGAGTGTGCGGGGCACATGCGTGCCCGTGACCAGGGGCTGGCCGAGCTTGGAGGTGAACTATGATGTCGAGATCCTTTGGGGGGGGGTTCTGTCTCTTGACTCACGGGAGAAAGAGAGCGAGCAATCAACAATGGCGGAGGGACAGAGAAGAAAATACCATGCTGGGGGCCGTCAGAGCTGCTGCCCACCTGCTGCGGCCCCACTCCGGGAGCAGGACTGGCCTGACAGCCTGCCCGCAGATGCTCACAGCTGTCCCCTCTGCCCCTGCCTGGCCACCCTTCTGCACGTCCCTCTGCACAGGCCCTGGAGCCCGGGCTATCCGTGTGGCAATGATTCTGGCACATGGCCGGGGTGGCTTCCTGGAAGGCCTGCCCAGACTGTCACCAAGTGGCATGGCCCAGAGGCCCAGACCCTGACAGCAGGCTTCAGAGCCTTCAGGAAGAACGTGGCCCCCGGGGAGGCAGCTCTGATGAGCAGACCGCGAGCTGGGCCCAGACGCTTCTGCTGAGTTGTTTCTCACGTGTAAATAAAAAGCCCGCACTACACTCCCACTCACGCCCAAGCCGTACTCGAGCATCAGTGACTGGGCGCTGCAGACGGCCGGTTCCTGGCTGGGCGAGGGCGCACCCGGGGGGGGGGCCCCGCTCG